GGATTGAACTACCGACCTTCCGCTTACTAAGCGGGTGCTCTACCACTGAGCTATAGGGGCTCCAAAAACGTCTCGCAACCAACAATTTTTTCGGACCTTTTTCTCGTCCCCTGAGACACGAAATCACCGTCACGTCAGCCACATTCCGTGCACGGTATGCGTGGCGAGCTTCCCAGCTTGTGTGTCATCACGATAACCATAGACCCACACGCTGCATCGAATGCCGTCTCTTGTCACCCTACTCTGTTGTGGCCCAGCTATGGTGCTGATGGCTAGAGGACGCTTACAAGCACCAGGCGGCATTCTGATGCATACATGTCCGGTACATCCCACCTGGACTGTAACTAACACAAAATGACGGGACAAACGAAGGCTACTGCTGTACCGCGGATGTGGTAGAGACGTTAAATACTTTGCAGCAAGGTGTATCGATGTCGTATCTATTTGAAGTGCCAACAAAACGGGGATTGGTATCAATGTGACGTACAGCCGCGCTGGTTATAAACGGGGTGCTAGCCAATGACTCGATTGAAGTAAAGGATATGACACTTTATGGGATAGACTGATCGTCACCGCCTATGGTACGGATATAGCAGGCGAGCCTATCAAAGTATGTTGTATAAAATGGAGGCGTAACCCCTACTACGATGAAAAGATACGAGCAAGTTGAGCCACTCTCTCGAGCAAGGAGATACTAGAACTTGTGACATGTGATAGGTACGGCACATGGCCACTGTCCCCAGGCACGATTGAACTACCGACCTTCCACTTACTGATCGGGTGCTCTACCACGGAGCTATGGCTTGCTCGAGTAAGGAGGTGCTAGAACTTGTGCCTTATAATGGATGCGCACACGGTCACTGCCCCCAGGCAGGATTGAACTACCGACCTTCGCTTACTAAGCGGGTGCTCTACCACTGAGCTATAGGGGCTCCAAAAACGTCTCGCAACCAACAATTTTTTCGGACCTTTTTCTCGTCCCCTGAGACACGAAATCACCGTCACGTCAGCCACATTCCGTGCACGGTATGCGTGGCGAGCTTCCCAGCTTGTGTGTCATCACGATAACCATAGACCCACACGCTGCATCGAATGCCGTCTCTTGTCACCCTACTCTGTTGTGGCCCAGCTATGGTGCTGATGGCTAGAGGACGCTTACAAGCACCAGGCGGCATTCTGATGCATACATGTCCGGTACATCCCACCTGGACTGTAACTAACACAAAATGACGGGACAAACGAAGGCTACTGCTGTACCGCGGATGTGGTAGAGACGTTGAATACTTTGCAGCAAGGTGTATCGATGTCGTATCTATTTGAAGTGCCAACAAAACGGGGATTGGTATCAATGTGACGTACAGCCGCGCTGGTTATAAACGGGGTGCTAGCCAATGACTCGATTGAAGTAAAGGATATGACACTTTATGAGATAGACTGATCGTCACCGCCTATGGTACGGATATAGCAGGCGAGCCTATCAAAGTATGTTGTATAAAATGGAGGCGTAACGCCTACTACGATGAAAAGATACGAGCAAGTTGAGCCACTCTCTCGAGCAAGGAGATACTAGAACTTGTGACATGTGATAGGTACGGCACATGGCCACTGTCCCCAGGCACGATTGAACTACCGACCTTCCACTTACTGATCGGGTGCTCTACCACGGAGCTATGGCTTGCTCGAGTAAGGAGGTGCTAGAACTTGTGCCTTATAATGGATGCGCACACGGTCACTGCCCCCAGGCAGGATTGAACTACCGACCTTCGCTTACTAAGCGGGTGCTCTACCACTGAGCTATAGGGGCTCCAAAAACGTCTCGCAACCAACAATTTTTTCGGACCTTTTTCTCGTCCCCTGAGACACGAAATCACCGTCACGTCAGCCACATTCCGTGCACGGTATGCGTGGCGAGCTTCCCAGCTTGTGTGTCATCACGATAACCATAGACCCACACGCTGCATCGAATGCCGTCTCTTGTCACCCTACTCTGTTGTGGCCCAGCTATGGTGCTGATGGCTAGAGGACGCTTACAAGCACCAGGCGGCATTCTGATGCATACATGTCCGGTACATCCCACCTGGACTGTAACTAACACAAAATGACGGGACAAACGAAGGCTACTGCTGTACCGCGGATGTGGTAGAGACGTTGAATACTTTGCAGCAAGGTGTATCGATGTCGTATCTATTTGAAGTGCCAACAAAACGGGGATTGGTATCAATGTGACGTACAGCCGCGCTGGTTATAAACGGGGTGCTAGCCAATGACTCGATTGAAGTAAAGGATATGACACTTTATGGGATAGACTGATCGTCACCGCCTATGGTACGGATATAGCAGGCGAGCCTATCAAAGTATGTTGTATAAAATGGAGGCGTAACGCCTACTACGATGAAAAGATACGAGCAAGTTGAGCCACTCTCTCGAGCAAGGAGATACTAGAACTTGTGACATGTGATAGGTACGGCACATGGCCACTGTCCCCAGGCACGATTGAACTACCGACCTTCCACTTACTGATCGGGTGCTCTACCACGGAGCTATGGCTTGCTCGAGTAAGGAGGTGCTAGAACTTGTGCCTTATAATGGATGCGCACACGGTCACTGCCCCCAGGCAGGATTGAACTACCGACCTTCCGCTTACTAAGCGGGTGCTCTACCACTGAGCTATAGGGGCTCCAAAAACGTCTCGCAACCAACAATTTTTTTCGGACCTTTTTCTCGTCCCCTGAGACACGAAATCACCGTCACGTCAGCCACATTCCGTGCACGGTATGCGTGGCGAGCTTCCCAGCTTGTGTGTCATCACGATAACCATAGACCCACACGCTGCATCGAATGCCGTCTCTTGTCACCCTACTCTGTTGTGGCCCAGCTATGGTGCTGATGGCTAGAGGACGCTTACAAGCACCAGGCGGCATTCTGATGCATACATGTCCGGTACATCCCACCTGGACTGTAACTAACACAAAATGACGGGACAAACGAAGGCTACTGCTGTACCGCGGATGTGGTAGAGACGTTGAATACTTTGCAGCAAGGTGTATCGATGTCGTATCTATTTGAAGTGCCAACAAAACGGGGATTGGTATCAATGTGACGTACAGCCGCGCTGGTTATAAACGGGGTGCTAGCCAATGACTCGATTGAAGTAAAGGATATGACACTTTATGAGATAGACTGATCGTCACCGCCTATGGTACGGATATAGCAGGCGAGCCTATCAAAGTATGTTGTATAAAATGGAGGCGTAACGCCTACTACGATGAAAAGATACGAGCAAGTTGAGCCACTCTCTCGAGCAAGGAGATACTAGAACTTGTGACATGTGATAGGTACGGCACATGGCCACTGTCCCCAGGCACGATTGAACTACCGACCTTCCACTTACTGATCGGGTGCTCTACCACGGAGCTATGGCTTGCTCGAGTAAGGAGGTGCTAGAACTTGTGCCTTATAATGGATGCGCACACGGTCACTGCCCCCAGGCAGGATTGAACTACCGACCTTCCGCTTACTAAGCGGGTGCTCTACCACTGAGCTATAGGGGCTCCAAAAACGTCTCGCAACCAACAATTTTTTCGGACCTTTTTCTCGTCCCCTGAGACACGAAATCACCGTCACGTCAGCCACATTCCGTGCACGGTATGCGTGGCGAGCTTCCCAGCTTGTGTGTCATCACGATAACCATAGACCCACACGCTGCATCGAATGCCGTCTCTTGTCACCCTACTCTGTTGTGGCCCAGCTATGGTGCTGATGGCTAGAGGACGCTTACAAGCACCAGGCGGCATTCTGATGCATACATGTCCGGTACATCCCACCTGGACTGTAACTAACACAAAATGACGGGACAAACGAAGGCTACTGCTGTACCGCGGATGTGGTAGAGACGTTAAATACTTTGCAGCAAGGTGTATCGATGTCGTATCTATTTGAAGTGCCAACAAAACGGGGATTGGTATCAATGTGACGTACAGCCGCGCTGGTTATAAACGGGGTGCTAGCCAATGACTCGATTGAAGTAAAGGATATGACACTTTATGAGATAGACTGATCGTCACCGCCTATGGTACGGATATAGCAGGCGAGCCTATCAAAGTATGTTGTATAAAATGGAGGCGTAACGCCTACTACGATGAAAAGATACGAGCAAGTTGAGCCACTCTCTCGAGCAAGGAGATACTAGAACTTGTGACATGTGATAGGTACGGCACATGGCCACTGTCCCCAGGCACGATTGAACTACCGACCTTCCACTTACTGATCGGGTGCTCTACCACTGAGCTATAGGGGCTCCAAAAATGTGTCGCAACCAACAATTTTTTCGGACCTTTTTCTCGTCCCCTGAGACACGAAATCACCGTCACGTCAGCCACATTCCGTGCACGGTATGCGTGGCGAGCTTCCCAGCTTGTGTGTCATCACGATAACCATAGACCCACACGCTGCATCGAATGCCGTCTCTTGTCACCCTACTCTGTTGTGGCCCAGCTATGGTGCTGATGGCTAGAGGACGCTTACAAGCACCAGGCGGCATTCTGATGCATACATGTCCGGTACATCCCACCTGGACTGTAACTAACACAAAATGACGGGACAAACGAAGGCTACTGCTGTACCGCGGATGTGGTAGAGACGTTGAATACTTTGCAGCAAGGTGTATCGATGTCGTATCCATTTGAAGTGCCAACAAAACGGGGATTGGTATCAATGTGACGTACAGCCGCGCTGGTTATAAACGGGGTGCTAGCCAATGACTCGATTGAAGTAAAGGATATGACACTTTATGGGATAGACTGATCGTCACCGCCTATGGTACGGATATAGCAGGCGAGCCTATCAAAGTATGTTGTATAAAATGGAGGCGTAACGCCTACTACGATGAAAAGATACGAGCAAGTTGAGCCACTCTCTCGAGCAAGGAGATACTAGAACTTGTGACATGTGATAGGTACGGCACATCCTGTCCCCGGCACGATTAACTACCGACCTTCCCCATGGCTCTACCACGGATTGAACTACCTGTGCCTTTCGCACACGTCACTCCCCCAGGCAGATTGAACTACCACCCTCCGCTTACTAAGCGGGTGCTCTACCACTGAGCTATAGGGGCTCCAAAAACGTCTCGCAACCAACAATTTTTTCGGACCTTTTTCTCGTCCCCTGAGACACGAAATCACCGTCACGTCAGCCACATTCCGTGCACGGTATGCGTGGCGAGCTTCCCAGCTTGTGTGTCATCACGATAACCATAGACCCACACGCTGCATCGAATGCCGTCTCTTGTCACCCTACTCTGTTGTGGCCCAGCTATGGTGCTGATGGCTAGAGGACGCTTACAAGCACCAGGCGGCATTCTGATGCATACATGTCCGGTACATCCCACCTGGACTGTAACTAACACAAAATGACGGGACAAACGAAGGCTACTGCTGTACCGCGGATGTGGTAGAGACGTTAAATACTTTGCAGCAAGGTGTATCGATGTCGTATCCATTTGAAGTGCCAACAAAACGGGGATTGGTATCAATGTGACGTACAGCCGCGCTCGTTATAAACGGGGTGCTAGCCAATGACTCGATTGAAGTAAAGGATATGACACTTTATGGGATAGACTGATCGTCACCGCCTATGGTACGGATATAGCAGGCGAGCCTATCAAAGTATGTTGTATAAAATGGAGGCGTAACGCCTACTACGATGAAAAGATACGAGCAAGTTGAGCCACTCTCTCGAGCAAGGAGATACTAGAACTTGTGACATGTGATAGGTACGGCACATGGCCACTGTCCCCAGGCACGATTGAACTACCGACCTTCCACTTACTGATCGGGTGCTCTACCACGGAGCTATGGCTTGCTCGAGTAAGGAGGTGCTAGAACTTGTGCCTTATAATGGATGCGCACACGGTCACTGCCCCCAGGCAGGATTGAACTACCGACCTTCCGCTTACTAAGCGGGTGCTCTACCACTGAGCTATAGGGGCTCCAAAAACGTCTCGCAACCAACAATTTTTTCGGACCTTTTTCTCGTCCCCTGAGACACGAAATCACCGTCACGTCAGCCACATTCCGTGCACGGTATGCGTGGCGAGCTTCCCAGCTTGTGTGTCATCACGATAACCATAGACCCACACGCTGCATCGAATGCCGTCTCTTGTCACCCTACTCTGTTGTGGCCCAGCTATGGTGCTGATGGCTAGAGGACGCTTACAAGCACCAGGCGGCATTCTGATGCATACATGTCCGGTACATCCCACCTGGACTGTAACTAACACAAAATGACGGGACAAACGAAGGCTACTGCTGTACCGCGGATGTGGTAGAGACGTTGAATACTTTGCAGCAAGGTGTATCGATGTCGTATCTATTTGAAGTGCCAACAAAACGGGGATTGGTATCAATGTGACGTACAGCCGCGCTGGTTATAAACGGGGTGCTAGCCAATGACTCGATTGAAGTAAAGGATATGACACTTTATGGGATAGACTGATCGTCACCGCCTATGGTACGGATATAGCAGGCGAGCCTATCAAAGTATGTTGTATAAAATGGAGGCGTAACCCCTACTACGATGAAAAGATACGAGCAAGTTGAGCCACTCTCTCGAGCAAGGAGATACTAGAACTTGTGACATGTGATAGGTACGGCACATGGCCACTGTCCCCAGGCACGATTGAACTACCGACCTTCCACTTACTGATCGGGTGCTCTACCACGGAGCTATGGCTTGCTCGAGTAAGGAGGTGCTAGAACTTGTGCCTTATAATGGATGCGCACACGGTCACTGCCCCCAGGCAGGATTGAACTACCGACCTTCGCTTACTAAGCGGGTGCTCTACCACTGAGCTATAGGGGCTCCAAAAACGTCTCGCAACCAACAATTTTTTCGGACCTTTTTCTCGTCCCCTGAGACACGAAATCACCGTCACGTCAGCCACATTCCGTGCACGGTATGCGTGGCGAGCTTCCCAGCTTGTGTGTCATCACGATAACCATAGACCCACACGCTGCATCGAATGCCGTCTCTTGTCACCCTACTCTGTTGTGGCCCAGCTATGGTGCTGATGGCTAGAGGACGCTTACAAGCACCAGGCGGCATTCTGATGCATACATGTCCGGTACATCCCACCTGGACTGTAACTAACACAAAATGACGGGACAAACGAAGGCTACTGCTGTACCGCGGATGTGGTAGAGACGTTGAATACTTTGCAGCAAGGTGTATCGATGTCGTATCTATTTGAAGTGCCAACAAAACGGGGATTGGTATCAATGTGACGTACAGCCGCGCTGGTTATAAACGGGGTGCTAGCCAATGACTCGATTGAAGTAAAGGATATGACACTTTATGAGATAGACTGATCGTCACCGCCTATGGTACGGATATAGCAGGCGAGCCTATCAAAGTATGTTGTATAAAATGGAGGCGTAACGCCTACTACGATGAAAAGATACGAGCAAGTTGAGCCACTCTCTCGAGCAAGGAGATACTAGAACTTGTGACATGTGATAGGTACGGCACATGGCCACTGTCCCCAGGCACGATTGAACTACCGACCTTCCACTTACTGATCGGGTGCTCTACCACGGAGCTATGGCTTGCTCGAGTAAGGAGGTGCTAGAACTTGTGCCTTATAATGGATGCGCACACGGTCACTGCCCCCAGGCAGGATTGAACTACCGACCTTCGCTTACTAAGCGGGTGCTCTACCACTGAGCTATAGGGGCTCCAAAAACGTCTCGCAACCAACAATTTTTTCGGACCTTTTTCTCGTCCCCTGAGACACGAAATCACCGTCACGTCAGCCACATTCCGTGCACGGTATGCGTGGCGAGCTTCCCAGCTTGTGTGTCATCACGATAACCATAGACCCACACGCTGCATCGAATGCCGTCTCTTGTCACCCTACTCTGTTGTGGCCCAGCTATGGTGCTGATGGCTAGAGGACGCTTACAAGCACCAGGCGGCATTCTGATGCATACATGTCCGGTACATCCCACCTGGACTGTAACTAACACAAAATGACGGGACAAACGAAGGCTACTGCTGTACCGCGGATGTGGTAGAGACGTTAAATACTTTGCAGCAAGGTGTATCGATGTCGTATCCATTTGAAGTACCAACAAAACGGGGATTGGTATAAATGTGACGTACAGCCGCGCTGGTAATAAACGGGGTGCTAGCCAATGACTCGATTGAAGTAAAGGATATGACACTTTATGGGATAGACTGATCGTCACCGCCTATGGTACGGATATAGCAGGCGAGCCTATCAAAGTATGTTGTATAAAATGGAGGCGTAACCCCTACTACGATGAAAAGATACGAGCAAGTTGAGCCACTCTCTCGAGCAAGGAGATACTAGAACTTGTGACATGTGATAGGTACGGCACATGGCCACTGTCCCCAGGCACGATTGAACTACCGACCTTCCACTTACTGATCGGGTGCTCTACCACGGAGCTATGGCTTGCTCGAGTAAGGAGGTGCTAGAACTTGTGCCTTATAATGGATGCGCCCACGGTCACTGCCCCCAGGCAGGATTGAACTACCGACCTTCGCTTACTAAGCGGGTGCTCTACCACTGAGCTATAGGGGCTCCAAAAACGTCTCGCAACCAACAATTTTTTCGGACCTTTTTCTCGTCCCCTGAGACACGAAATCACCGTCACGTCAGCCACATTCCGTGCACGGTATGCGTGGCGAGCTTCCCAGCTTGTGTGTCATCACGATAACCATAGACCCACACGCTGCATCGACTGCCGTCTCTTGTCACCCTACTCTGTTGTGGCCCAGCTATGGTGCTGATGGCTAGAGGACGCTTACAAGCACCAGGCGGCATTCTGATGCATACATGTCCGGTACATCCCACCTGGACTGTAACTAACACAAAATGACGGGACAAACGAAGGCTACTGCTGTACCGCGGATGTGGTAGAGACGTTGAATACTTTGCAGCAAGGTGTATCGATGTCGTATCTATTTGAAGTGCCAACAAAACGGGGATTGGTATCAATGTGACGTACAGCCGCGCTCGTTATAAACGGGGTGCTAGCCAATGACTCGATTGAAGTAAAGGATATGACACTTTATGAGATAGACTGATCGTCACCGCCTATGGTACGGATATAGCAGGCGAGCCTATCAAAGTATGTTGTATAAAATGGAGGCGTAACGCCTACTACGATGAAAAGATACGAGCAAGTTGAGCCACTCTCTCGAGCAAGGAGATACTAGAACTTGTGACATGTGATAGGTACGGCACATGGCCACTGTCCCCAGGCACGATTGAACTACCGACCTTCCACTTACTGATCGGGTGCTCTACCACGGAGCTATGGCTTGCTCGAGTAAGGAGGTGCTAGAACTTGTGCCTTATAATGGATGCGCACACGGTCACTGCCCCCAGGCAGGATTGAACTACCGACCTTCGCTTACTAAGCGGGTGCTCTACCACTGAGCTATAGGGGCTCCAAAAACGTCTCGCAACCAACAATTTTTTTCGGACCTTTTTCTCGTCCCCTGAGACACGAAATCACCGTCACGTCAGCCACATTCCGTGCACGGTATGCGTGGCGAGCTTCCCAGCTTGTGTGTCATCACGATAACCATAGACCCACACGCTGCATCGAATGCCGTCTCTTGTCACCCTACTCTGTTGTGGCCCAGCTATGGTGCTGATGGCTAGAGGACGCTTACAAGCACCAGGCGGCATTCTGATGCATACATGTCCGGTACATCCCACCTGGACTGTAACTAACACAAAATGACGGGACAAACGAAGGCTACTGCTGTACCGCGGATGTGGTAGAGACGTTGAATACTTTGCAGCAAGGTGTATCGATGTCGTATCCATTTGAAGTGCCAACAAAACGGGGATTGGTATCAATGTGACGTACAGCCGCGCTGGTTATAAACGGGGTGCTAGCCAATGACTCGATTGAAGTAAAGGATATGACACTTTATGAGATAGACTGATCGTCACCGCCTATGGTACGGATATAGCAGGCGAGCCTATCAAAGTATGTTGTATAAAATGGAGGCGTAACCCCTACTACGATGAAAAGATACGAGCAAGTTGAGCCACTCTCTCGAGCAA